GTCCATGGTAGGTCTATAGGCCTACACTGTTCTACCACACACACACACACACACACACACACACACAGAATCCAGTAACTTGAAGAAATCATGTATGATTTCTATGACCCTCTTACTTGGACTTGAATTCTTCTGTAAAATTTTCAATGAATCCAGGTGTACTTTTCTTCATGAATAATAAAACCCACTGTCTCAGAAGTACAGATTCTTCAACACATCCATAGGATTGTATGGAAGTTTTCTGCGGCAAAGTCTACCTTGATAAACTTAGCTCGCTAAAAACATACAGTGAGGCTTTACTGAGAGGAACTAAGATGATCTGGTCAGCAAATAACTAGCCAAAGGGCGGATAAAGGACGTAAAATGCATCATATCCAGGCCAGCAGAATCCCCTGGTCTCTCCATTTCATATGATACTTTCAAGGGGGTAATTGGTACCTTAATTTTAAGGGAAAAGAGTGGAGAGAACCAGCCAGTACTTTGCATGCTTAGTTTCTGCTTATGACACTGAGCTCAGAGAAATAACTCATTGGAGAAACCTACGATGGTTCCAGTGACTACTGAGAATACATTAACCGACTGTTCTGAGTTGAAGCTTCCTAGTTGTAAAGCAGAACTAGGAGCCCGGCAACATAGAAAGCTGACACCACAGATGGAGAAGTGACAAAGCTCAGAAACTCAGCCTGAGGGATCTCCCATGCCCCAAAGCCCCCCTTTAGGACACAAAGCAATTTCTTATCACCAAATCACCATCCAGGTACCCAGGTCACTTGGCTGGGTAGCTGCTGTTGATGATTTTCCAGGCCTGTCACTTATCTCGTGCTGCTGGGCCTGGACAGTGGTCCTTGCCTGGGCTGCAGTATTGTGTCCCCTGAGGTATTTTTCTGTGTCTTTAGAACAATCAGGTTCCCTTATCAAAGAGGTTGTCATATGTACTTCTTCTCCTTATTTAGTTTGTTGCTAGCTCATCAACAACTTGATCTCCAGCACTCTTTTCCAGGCAGACCAAGGGATCATGTGGAAAAGATGCTAAAGGATCCCAAGATAGGGAGACTACACCATTGTCCCAAGAGAGATCATTTCCCTCCTGAGATGGTTGGGATTTTCCACTTTGGCAGAAGGAACGTAACTTAGTACGTAACAGAAAAATGAGGGCACAGAACAGATGAAGCACAGCACAGCCGATGTGCCCTTCCTTGGCATTTGGCGAGCTGGATCGACTTCCACTGCACCTATTGCCTCTGAGAAGCTGAGGCCACGTGAAGTAGTAGTCAGGAGCTGCAACAGGACATCAGAGTTGAGGGTATGAAGTCAGAACTAAGGTTGAATCAGGCTGGCAACTCTCAAGACCTTTGGTCACTGGGCTCCAAGCTCAATTCACACTTTCAAAATAGGCCCACCGTATGGCCTTAGTATTCTGTCCTCAAGTAATAACAACACTTTTCCCAAAGCAAGACACTTTCCAGAGCCTTTAGGACTAGCCCTTGCTCAGTGGGACTCCATCCCAGAAGGAGCTGTTAAATCACCCACTGTTTCAGTTTGTGCATTTCTTCTACTTTGGTGACAAGTGAATCTGCATTCAATCAACAACTGCAAGCTCCCCAGAGACTTCTCTTTATTTCTTGGGATACTCCCTCCTGTTAAATCATAGACCCACCCATTTTCAACCCCTAGAATATAGCCAAAGAGCACACCATTATTGCTTATGAGATGTGGGGAGTGTTGTTACTTCTCCGGAGGCCTTCTCCAGCACCAAGGGGAAATTCCTTTCTTCTCCTCACCTGGAATGTATTAATGGACTCTCTGAAGTGGACTCTACCACCATGTAGGAAAGCAGACATTGGCAGTAATTAGGAGACACAGCCAGCCCTATACAAAAAGTTGCCTTTTTCCTCGGCAGTACTCCATTTCTCCTTCTCTTGGTCTCAGGGGCAAGTCACTTCAAATCAGCAGTGGCACAACCTAGCAACTAAAGTATTAGTTAATGAACACTGATGTTGCAGCCTTTCCTGGTCATTCATATATATTAAACTGTGGGAGAGATTTAGGGGCCATGGATATTTGGGGACTCTTTCTACCTTCTTCTCAATTTTGCTGTGAACTTAAATCTGCTCTAAGGAAAATAAAAGTAACTAGTGATGTGTTCTCCAAGCTAAAAACCCACTGAGATATTAAAAAAAGAACGATATCATGGTAGAATTAGGGTTGTTACATTAATGCTTTGGAGTAAGAATCTATTTCTCACACACACACAAAGACAACCTGGGGCATTGATATTAATAAAGATCTATGATGGCAGAACATAAGTGGGCATCCCATCCCCACATAACCTGCCAGAAACTCAAGGGCCAGTGTTGTCATTCCCCCGCATGCTTGGGAACCTTTGCTTCTCCCTGGATCCCCTGATGTGCTATTCTCTCAGGAAATGATGACCCTGCACAGGAAAAGCTGTGAATTTCTGACAGAAAAATAATCAGCAGAAGGCTTCGGAAAAGGTGTAGGAGCAAAACTAATGGACTCATTTTCAAAAATTGAAGGACCTCATTTGGTTATCTTAACGTCCTCAAAAAAAGGAGGGGAAATTTTGTTTCATTTTCCACTGTGTGTCATAAAGAATTTTCAGCCAAATACAGGATCTCATTTCTTTGGAGGGAAAATGACTGGTAGACCAGCTTACCATTGGCACAGAGGCCTGGGTTCTTTATAGTAATGTCATAGCAAGACCCCAGGTGAACTGACAGAACCACAACAGAACAGATCCCTAGGGCAGAAGCTCTAGCTGAAGAATATCACAAAGATTTAGTGTTAGATGATGAGAGTACTATGGCCCAGGGATTTTTTATACTCTATCTTTATTCAATCTTCACAACAGCCCAATAAGGAAAGAACTCTTATCCCAGCAGTCAATGAACAGTGCACAGATTCTTAGGATAATTTAGGCAGGGTTAAGCAGCTGCTAGGTGAAAGAGCTGGCTTTCAACTCAACTGAGACCCGAGAGCCCATGTACACTACCACCAAGGGCTGTGAAGGTAGCATCCAAACCACTGAGAACTTGTGTGTGTATGTGTGTGTGTGTGTGTGTGTGTGTGTGTGTAGACATCAACAAATACTGTAAGTACAGAACTGAGTACCTGGAAAGCTCAAAAAAACCCAAATGAGGATAACAAAGGACTTAATTAAAAATACATGAATGAGGCACCACCTCTGGGACCAGGAGCTAGGAAAGCAAGGAAACATCGCTGTGGATGCTATGAAGTCTTGTTCAAACATTTTATCCTACATACATGCCTCTATTTTTAGAAACACTTTTTATTGAATAATAAATCTGTATATTGTATTGAGTTACTAAGTTCAAGTACTTGAACTTCACTGGTCATATTTTCTAAAAAATAGATAACTGGGGAAAAGCAATCCCATCCCACAGAGGCCTATTACAGAGGGTAAGTTCAAGGCAGGAGAAAGACAGGCAGTGGCTCATGCACGTCTATGCTACTTAAGACCACAGAGCACTAAAAGTGAAACCATCCTGCCATCCTTCCCCATTTTCATTTTCAAACAAAAAACCCCCATGATGGCCACAGGACGCAGAGGACACTGCCTCTTGTTTAGACATGAAAGTAGATGACCTCATTTTCTTCAACAGGTGGGTCCCGACATGTTATACACAAAACAAAATTTCAGTAAATCAATCCATATTTTGAATGCCCTGTAGCAGAAGTCATTGTCTCAGTAACTTGAAGAAAACTTCTTTGCAAAGAAGGCAGTTATAATGTCAACAACGTGTTTTCTAGATGATTTTTATGGCAGCCATACAGGACTTCTAGTTTCAGCCTGGAGTCATTCCCTGGGAGATGCCTGGTTATCTGCAGTATGATGGGGCACTCTGGTCTGGTGTCTAAAGTTAGGAGGCCACAGACTCTTCCTTTGGAGGAAGTCATCCTAAGAAGAGTTCTGTTCGAGATTCACACAATAAAGAAGCCTCAGGCACTGGAGGACAAGGTGTGATTCAGAACCTAGAGCCGCGTCACCTTTGTACACATATCGTCAGACAGCAAGAATGAGCTACAAGTAAAATTTTGAGAAGATGCCACAAGGTCCTCCTCTGATTGCCTCATCAAAGTGAGTAATATTCTTCCTTGTTTCCATCCTGAACCAAGTGGGCTTCGGCAACCTGGGGGCTCTGGGAGGTCCAGCTTCCATCCGGGCACTTCAAAGTGCCGCAGGGCAGTAGGATCCCAGGATCCCTGGCAGTGGTAGAGATACCCAGGCACGGTAGGGATAACCCTGCAGCGCAGTAACCGAAGTCCTTACCGGGAGGTTCCCCAGGAGGCCACTAGGGGGAGAGTAGGGTAGCAGTGAACCTCCCTGAGGTGCGCTGTAACAAGTGAGAAAACTGGCAGATGACACTTAGTACCAAACAAGGTATCATTTATGATGCGCAGCACTCCACCGGAGACTTCTAGAAATGACTGAGTAGGATTTGGTGGTAGCCAGGCCATTCTGCAACAGATGGTCGTGGTGAGAGCTAGGAAATAAAGTAAGGAAATGACCAGTAGTAATATCTTCTGTGTAACCTCAGGCTTACGGGTCTGTGGTGTAAAACATCTTCGGTGCTTTACAGATATGAGCTAGTTGGAATACTAGATCTTAGCATCTCCATCTGGTAATCAGGGCATTGTTTTTGAAAAATCATAGCCAGTTTTAGCTTCTGTTTCCCTCCTCATGAAACATCGTACATGACTTCAGCTTTACTTTCTCAAGCCATGCTAAAGTGCTGAGTCACTAGAAAAAAAAAAAAAAGAAAGAAAGTAAAGGAAGAGTGATCTTGATTCTTAGGGCTAGCCTCAGTGATGACCTAAGCCACACTTTTTTTCCCCAGTTGTGATTCTTTTCTTCGATGCTGAACGACGTCACATTGCACAATCTTAATGAGGTTTCCAATCAGCCCCACCCACTCTGGCCCCACCCCCATGGTCCAACAAAGATTTTATCAAATGTGGGATTTTCCCATGAGTCTCAAAATTAGAGTCTCAACTCCCAATAAATATGAGACAGGGGATGTCTGAAGCTCATTCTGCTCCTGAGCCCACCAGGAACGAAACAGAGCTAGCTCCACCTTGCCCTCCATCTGCCTTCCAGGAACAGCTATGAAGTTCCTCTCCACAAGTAAGTGAAGCAAACCCCTAGCCCTCGAGGAGCCGGCTGAGGGTGCCCCTCCCGTGTGAGGGAGGAGGTGTGTGGCTGAGTGAGGGCTGGCGTCCAGCCAGCACCGACAGCGGGCTCCCTGCTGTGCCGTCAGCTCACTAGCTGCTCTCCCTTCCTTTCGGCACAGGCACCTTCCTTCCCCTTGCCTTCTTGGGGCTGCTCCTGGTGACAGCTACTGCCTTCCCCACTTCACAAGTTCCGCAAGATTTCACAGCTGATAGGATCACAATGCCAAGTAAACTGACAACCTCTGCTTCACAAGTCTTTGGAATGTTTATACAAGTCCACAAGGATGTCAAGGCACTGAAAAGCGAGGTGGGTAACCTGGTGATGGCCCCCACACGGGCATTCGTTCATTCTCCTTGACCCAGTGTGGACGAGGGGCTTGTGTGTTGAGAGATCTCTGTGGGTTCTGGGATAGACTAAGCTAGACTGTGGTCTGTATCTCTTCTTTGCTGATGGTGTTAGGAGGTTCCTTCACTTTCTGAAAAATACAGAATGGGGCTGGAACTCATATGCCCTCACCCATTCTTAGCTTCACACTTAGGCTGAATGGTCAGGGATTCCTTTTCCCTTACCAAAAAGTAAGGTCCACCAACATTCATTTTGTCTCTTGGACTTTGAGAGTATTAGAAAAATACCACTAAAACGAATGTTCAGCTTCTCCGGAGTTGCAGTACTTTTAGGTTGCAAAAGTTTACGTAAGTTTAGTGGTTAGGACTCATTCTAGCCAAAATACTACCTCAGGATGCATCAAAGGGGCAAAGTCATAAAAACGTTAAAGCATCTCCCAACTTTAAATGAAAGTATTTCAGCTCTGTTTGATAGAAAGAAAAGAACACAGGATTCTCACAGGATTTCATCGCTAAGCTTAGTGATCTTGGGCTAATTCTCTACCATTTCTGGACTCTTATCTGTAAAATTATGGAGTTCAACTAGATCTCATACGTCCTTCTGGATGAGACATTCTATGGCTTAAATTCTATTTGTCCTAAATCGTCATCAAAATTCTTTTCCCTTTTTTTGTCGTTGTTGTTTGTTTATTTTGAGACAGGGTCTCCTATGCAGTTCAGGCTGGCCTTGGTTCACTTTCCAGCCCAGGCTAGTCTCGAACTCTCAGTGATCCTCTTGCTTCAGCCTCCCAAGTGCTGGTATTACAGGCATGTGCTACCACACCTGGCTGTTATCGTTTATTAAGAACCAATTACATGCTATGAACTTTATATATTAATAGTATATCTAATCATCTAAAGAAACATGCAAGAGGAATGTTGAATGATTCTCAATTTGGAAATAAAGAAACTGAGATTCAGAGTAGAGAACTAGCCTAGAGTTCCAGATGAGCCTGGGATTGAACCCAACGAATTGCACTGGACTCTGCTTGCCAAGATGCCAATTAGCTGTGATTTCCTTTTTTTTAAAAACAGACTTCCTTTATTAAAAACTTTCCTGACTGTACTAGAACATGAATTGGCCCTCTAGTGGTGTTTGTTTTATGAACACTTAAATGTTGACAATTTTTGTATCCTTTCCTAGATATCCAAACATAAGGTCGAAACAGCAGTTTTAAACAACCTGGATCTCCCAAAGCTAAGAACAGAAGATGGATGCTTCTACAGAGGATACAACTGGGTATGAGCATGTCATATTTACTTTTAGCCATTTTCTTTTAGCCAAAGTTCTCCCTCTTGCATGCAGTTCCTACAGATATGTAGCCCTGCACAGGCAACAAAAATGGAATAAATGTAAAGAACATTATATAAAGGTCCATGAAGAAACCAACTTAATTTTTTTAAGACAGTGTATCTTTGAATAGGCAGGAATTTTCTTTGTGGGCTGGGATTTTTTTTTTTTTTTTGGCAGAATCTCACTATACAGTTCAGCTTGGCCTTGAACTCACTGTATAGCCCAAGCTGGTCTCAAACTCACATCAATATTCCTGCCTCAGCCTCCCAAGTGCTGGGATTACAGGCACATGTCACTATGCCTGGCACATTGGGATTTTTCACAACTGGCAAATGTTAAAAACCCCAGAAAATTTAGCTACTTGGTCTTTAAGGTAGCTGAGGAAGGATCTCTTCTCTTCAGCTGCCACTGGCAGGATCCAGGCCCATCCTCCCTGCTGAGCTCATTCTCCACATACCTCTCCTTCCAGACAGTGAGATAACTTGCACTGATTTACGATTATGCCATAAAAGGAGATTTCAAGCCAACTTTAACATGGGTAGGAGTGAGGAAGAGCATCGAGAGGGAGTCAGAAAAGGATCCTAACTGCCACACTGTTGTATCTGTAGGCCTTTAGGTAAATGTCAATAATTGTACCTCTGACTATCCAGGTATTTAAAACAAGACAGCTGATGATGCTGTCCAGTGTCTTAAGCTAATTTTCTAGAGGGGCAGAGGAAGAAGATGCTGAATTATAGGAAGTTTAAATTTTCAAATTGATTCTTGTCTCCCAGCACTAATGCATTTCCCTACCATCTCTTTTCATAGGAAACATGCCAGTTGAAAATCATCACTGGTCTTCTCAAGTTCCAGACCTACCTGCAGTATGTACAGAACAAGCTTAAGAGTGACTCTGAAGATAGAAAACCTGAAAGAATATACACTGGTGTCAAAAGCTTGAGCCTGCTCATGAAAGCTAAGGTGAGTGCTCCTCATCTCTTATGGGGCAAGGAGAATAGGAGCTCAAGGAAAGTGGATGCAATGCTGCTTTGACAGAGATGGCAGTATTCAAATAAGAGGGTCTCAACAATAGTTCTTAATAGTTGAACTTTTTCTGTCTCTTCTGCCAAAACATTGATAACTGCATTTAAAATTTAAAATATGAAACTATATGGATTCAAGCATCAATTTCTAATGTCTTAAGAGACAAGAAAAAAATATCTGTAAGAGTTAGAAGGAAACATGCTTATTAACCCCACTCAGTGAGCCATTGTAAAAAAACAGATGCTACAAAAATGATTTTTTTCTATCAAAATTGAAGTATTTTAATAGCTGCCAAGTGACATTGTTGTTGCCAGAGAGTGAACTAGAGAAATGGCCAGAGGCTGAAGTCTGGAAAAGGAGGGATAAGTGGCTTTGGTCACCACCAGCTAGCTACTAACAGCAGATAATGGGAGAGGTGATGGCTCAGAGAGTGGACGAACTAGGCAAAGCGCACCGAAAGGGCCCTGAAGAAAACTCCGGGTGTTCAGTTTGCTTCTGCACCTTCTAGTTGTTTGCCTTAAACCAGGCTTTCTCATATATTACTCTACACGGGAGTGTCCTGGGCTTTTGTGTCACGGTAGTCTGACTTAGCAGGTCTGGGGTCAGACCTGAGATTCATGTACAACTAAGGCCCTCCCCAGTGATGCCGGTGCTGCTCTGCCCCAGGGCCACGCTTTGAGCTGCAAGGCCTTCCACAAGCTACCTGTTGCCATGATAATGGCTCTATAGAAAAGTGTTTCCAGCCATCCTTACACCACCAGATCAGTGGACTTTCAACAGACACTGAATAGATAGTGAGGAAGACTGGAGGAAAGCACTAGATTTAGAATCCATTAAATTGCCTTTAGCTGTGAGTTCTTCATCTATCAAATAAAAACATGTGCTGCTTTGAATAATAGAAGGGAAGACAAATAAGATAGTGGCTCTGTCCTCTGGATGTTTACCATCTAATAGTAAAAGAATGGTTAAAATTCAGTCACTGGTGGAAAGGTCCTTCTCAGAGTGGGCTTGGAGAAAAACACCTCCTGCAAGCTGGGTGAGTCAGGGCTGATAACCCAATTAGTTTCATTCACCCCAAATTTAGACATCTTCCCCCAGCCTGGAGCATCCCTCAACCACAAAGTATTTGTGCCCTGTGTAAACAATCCTCTTTGTTTTCTTCTCCTTTCAGGTAAACAGTACAGAAGAGATAGTCTCCCCTAGCCCAACGGCAAATGCCAGCCTGCTGAAGAAACTGGAGTCCCAGAATGAGACTCAGATGCTTTTGTCAATTGAAATTATCCTGCAGAGCCTTGAGGAGTTCCTGCAGGAGAGTATGAGAGCTATTCGGAAAGCAGAGCCTTTGGACAAGGAAATCTAATATGATCAGTTCATGGGCATTTCTTCCTATGGTCAGAAAACATGTCCTGTCCGCTGGGTATCTACCTTATCTTGTTCTCTACGAAGAACTGACTGTATAAGTGTTAGGACACTATTTTATTATTTTTAATTTATTGATAATTTAAATATGTGAAAGTTGAGTTAATTTATATATATGACTGATATTTATAACTTTATGACGTGCCACTTGAAATATTATATGTAATGGTTTTGAAATTATAATATATAATTTGAAATTATAATATAAAAGTATTGAGTAGCCTCTGTTTCAGAGCCAGATCATTTCTCTGAATGTATAAGCTTACCTCAATAAATTGCTAATTTATATACATTTTAAAAGAAATGTTTGTGTTGCATTTTTTATAATGTTTAAGCTGTCTTTTTACCAAGAAAGTCACATTCTTTAAAAAATCAGCAATTATTCCTGTGTGTGTCATGTGATGCTAAATAAAATAAAAGTCAAAATGGCTTCAGAATGGTCAAAAGAGAGACAGCATAAGTCCTTTACTGAGCCTTAGAGACATGCTGACAGGAGGGAGACTGCCACGGAGAATCATGATAGGAACTAAATCTGCAATACATTTTTCAGTGTCTAACAATAACTGCAAGGTTTGAAAAATATCAGAGTGATCACTTTTGCTTCTTGACCTGGTTAGGTGCAATTCCAGTGAACTTATAAAATTTACAACGACGCTTACCTGCATCAGTTTGCAACTGCTGGGCTTCATAAAGAAACTCTTTCACTGAAAGCCTGATTTTGCCAGCAGAGCCTGTGTTCCTGGATTTGCACCCAAATGGACTTTCTTTGTTTTTATTTTAATATCATTTATGACTCTGTGGTTTACAAAGCCAAATATAAACATGGTTCTTGTTACCACTAGAACCAAAAATAGAGAAAAAGAAAATAAAAATCTATAATCACCTGGAGAAAGAGCTAACTGAGTAACTATTGCCTGCCAGGTACCACCCTAAATGTGTTGCATCCATCATATCATTTCACCCCAATACTTGCGCACTCTCTGAGTATGAGAAAGCGACTCGCCCAACTCACCCAGCTGGAAGATAAGGCACAAGCTCAGGTTTGAAATCCAAATCTACCTGCATCCATGTCTCCTACTCTTAATTTTTAGGTTCCGTCACCTCCCAAGGAAGTGAAAGATGAGTGTAGAAAGTCCTAAAACATTTAAGTATAGAGAGTATATTTAAAGATGCAGTCAAAGCCTTTGATGTCGTACAACCACGCTATAAGACAGAAGTGTGCAAGCTTCCAAATAATAACTAGAAGTTACGCCTGCCTCCTCTGGGTTCCTCAAACACTGCACATACCTGTATGTCACAGTATCTACCACCATATATCGCGTCTTTAAATTAACGGCTTTTTCTCAAGCTAACACATAGGTTCCTCAGGAAAGAAGACTCTAGTGTATCCACCTTTGCCTTCTAGATTCATGGCCCAGAACCTTAACAAAGTAGGTCCCAAAAAACATGTTTAATGAAAACAGCATATTTAGATAACCAAGTAGAAGATACTTCATTTCTTGGAAGCATATAGGATTAAGGGAAACTGCTCATTCTGTACACATATGTATCTTCCTTTTAAGGAAAAATAGCAATAACTTGAAAGAAAAGTTCTAAGGATTTCTAAAGGAGACTGTGAATAGTCAGAGCATGTCTCTTTACTACCATTTCCTTCCCCCACTGGTAGTATTCTTTATCTGCACTCTTACTTCTCTCATCTCATAACACTTGTAATCGCAACACTCTGGGAGGCTGAGGCAGGAGAACTGCAATTTGGAGCCCAGCCTTGGCAATTTAATGACTTAGCAAGACTGTGTCTCAAAAGGTTATAAATTTTTTTTAAAAAATTAAAGAGGTTCAAGGGTGTAGCTCACTGTGAAGCCTCTGGGTTCAGTCCTCAGAATAAATAAATAAATAAATAAATAAATAAATAAATAAATAAATATTTAAGAAAGAATGGTGATGAGAGAACCAATCTAGCCAATTTAACATGGTTTCTGCACCTTTTTTCAATACAACATTGGAAATTTGGTACAGATTTTCCCTTCCTAACCCTGGCAATATGAAAGTACTGTCTTCTAACAGAGCTTCCCCCAACCCTAACCACTAGAGACTTCTTCCTCAAGGGCAGAAGTTCTGCTGTCAGGGGAAAATCCACAGAGGCCAAGACTGAGAGGAGTCAAGAAAGAAAAAAGACACATAAGGGCTGGGGATTTAGCTCAGCAGCACAGGGCCTGCCTGGCAAGCGCAAGGTCATGAGTTTGATTCCCAGTACCGGAAAAAAAAAAAAAAGAAAAAAGAAAAAAGACACATACTCTTATTTCTAGAGACCATGGGTCACAAGTAGGCTTCCCAAAATTAAAGGTAACCCTGAAAACAAAGAGAGATAGCAGTTGATCAATAAATCCATTCTTCAAGCAAAAAAATGTTCAGCACCATTTACTAGTCAAGGAGTATTCACAATAAAGGTGAACATGATAGAAGTGCCCTGTTTGGTTTATCCTGTGGCAGGGAAAACAGACATTTAACAAACAGTGTAGGATTGCTGAGGTTTGCAAAAGAGAAACATGTGGTGCCCTGGAAACCTATCCTGGGGCACTAATACAGGGAGATCTAACTACACCTAAGAGGAAGCACTTATGAAAAATTCCTGGAGAAAGAGAATTTTTAATAAGATGTGAAAAATACGTATTTGGGAAGAACCCTGTAGGCTAAAATAATAGCATATGCAAAGGTCCAAATCAACTAAAAACATATTTTGGTTGAGATATTGAAAACTACATTATATCCAATGCATAAAGAGCAAGAAGGGTGTGGTAGAGATACGGTGAAATTAGAGATAGAAACAGAGCATCAGTAGCATTAAAAGCCATATTCAAACTTTTGAAATTTATCCCATATATGGTAAGAAAATGGATTTTAAATAATAGAATGCCAAATTAATTTTCATATTGTCTTAGTTACTTTTCTCATTGCTGAGACAAAATACCCAACATCCAAAGTTAAAGGGGGAAATGTTTGTTTAGCTCACAGTTTGTGGAGGTTTCAGTCTATAATCAGCTGGCTCCAAGACTGGGTGGCACATGGCAGAGGGGCAACAGTTCACGGTGGCAGAAAACAGCAAAAGTAACTAAGGCAGATATTGGAGAGATGCATCTGTAATCTGAGGAATACCAAGGATTGCCTGCAATTACCAGAACATAGGAGTAGGCATGGAAAGATCTTCCTCAGTAGGTTTCAGAGGGAGCACAACCTTGCAGATAACCTGATTTCAGACTTCTCTCCACCGGAACTGCGAGAGAATAAATTCCTGTTGTTTTCAGCCAAGATTGTGGTAGTTTGTTATGGCAGCCCTAGAAAACCAGTACAGCCATTCTGGCAGCACAAGGTGGGTGAGTCATGAAATAGTATGCAGGATGAATTAAATAAAATTGCTAATGTAACAGAAAAATAAGGATTGGTATTATCGTAAATGGTTTTTCATTTTTGTTTATTTACTTGGTTGCTTAGTTTTGTTTTTTCATTTTGGTTTTGGTTTTCTTGGACTTTAGGGTTGTTGTTGTTGTTGTCATCATTGTTGTGCTGTTGTTTTTGAGACAAGGTCTTCATATGTAATTTATGTTGTCCTTAAACACACTCTGTAGCCCAGGGTGGTCTCCAACTGGCAGTGGTCCTCCTGCCTCAGCCTGTCAAGCACTAGGATTACAGGTGTGTGCCACTGTGCCCTACTAAATTTTGGGGTTTCTTAACGTTGAAGTTTTCCTTTCCTGCTGGTTGACATGGGGCCAGAAGGGTGGGCTCCAATCTTTTACAGAAGATTCCATCAACAGGACACACATTATGAGAGAGGAGAGAGGCAAAAAGAGAGGACAATCAAGAGCTCTTGGTGGCAGATAAGCCCTAGGAACGTTGGACACTGACACTAGTAGCCAATTTTATCTTCTCTATTACTCAGAGAACTTCCATAAGGTTTATTCACCAATATAAACAAATATCTGTTAGCCATGTACTAACCCAACTCTGAAGAATGAAAGATGCTTCTTGTCCACATTTGGGGGCAAAATGGACAAGAGATAGCTGAAACCATATGCAGAGTCAGAAATGAGACCTCAAAAAGTGACCAAAGAGAGATGTGATAGGCAACAACCAGGCTATGTAAGACCCTACCAAGAAAATCAAGAGTACTCAGAGAAATCTGAGAGGTATTTGAAATTCTTGTAATCAGTTCAGGATGGAGATGTTGGCTATTGTATTTGAATACTAAAGAAAAGTTTATCTCCAAATGCTAAAAGTTTGATGACTCTTGGTTGCACTATGAATATGATCCAAAAAATTGCAAGAAAGCAAGCTGATAGGGAAGCAGCAGCAAAGATTCCACTTCTGATAACAACTTCAGAGTTTCCAGTGGTTCAAGACAGGAGAAAAGAGATGTTTAACTCTCAAACATGCTCATTTGCTCTAAGAAAAGATTAATAATAATGAAGATGATAGTATAGCTGCTGTGGAGCACTTACTGTGTGCCAGGCTGTTATGGTTTGTATGTAAATGTCCCCCTAAAGCTTCATAGGTTTATAGGTGGTGCTTTTTGGGAGGTGGCTGGATCATGGGTGTGTGGCATTGGATTAGTGATTGTAATAACACAATTAAGGGCATCTGATAGTTTAACTGGTTGATCACAGATCTAGGCGTGGATAATGGAAACCTCACCCTGGGTGTGGGTAACACCCCAAAAAGCTTATAACCTAGATGGAATAAAAGGGAAAGAGAGGCTTGCAACTTTCTGCCTGCTACTTCCTGCCTGCCATGGGCTGTTTCTTTTCTGCCATGCCCTTCTACCACGCTGCCCTGCCTTGGGGCCAGCTGACTATGGACTGAAACCTCTACAAACTATGAGATGAAATAAACTTTTCCTCATTTAACTGGTGGGTGTCAGATATTTTGTCTCAGCAATGAGAAAAGAATGATGAAGGCATACATCAAAATATAGTATGTGTTATTTCAGAGGCACATGTCACAGAGGGTGTAAATTGCACAGCAGTTTACTAGTTATCCTCTCCGCTCTATTATCCACTTCTATAGGAACAATGGCCTGCCCTTTTAGAAGCTACATTTTCCTCTCCTCTTTGTAGTTAGGTACAAAGAGAACATTGCAAGCTTGAGTCTGCTATCCTTAGAAAGGACTGTTTTCAAGCTTGGCTTTTGGCTGGTGTGTGGGTATTTGAATGGTACACTCCTTTCTAACA